CTGGTTTAAATGGTGAATATTCACTTCTATATAACTCATCATAGTCCAGACAATGAGCCACTCCAGTCTTGTACAATACTTTCACATCATACTCCAAGATAGTCCCTTTACCTCATCATTCTACCGTATGACAAGATAGAGTAATTCTTAGTCAGAATGTGAATCACAAGTTCCACAACAGATCTTCAAGTCCTTCTTCAAGGAAAAACAAATCAGATGATACCTACACAATGGTTCTTTATATGCTCACAACTGGACTTACTACTGCCTAGTAATCCAACTAAAGATCTTCAGAGAACACAACTCCACCAGCTTGATAAAATACAACTCCAAAAGAGGGTAATCTTCCATACACAACTTAGTGTTTCTACCACAAGCTCCAATATATGAATAGAATCAGAACCTCCTTTGGTCTTCAAACAACTACACTTCTGCACAAGAGTAATGTTCTTCAAGCACCCTTCTGAAATAACCAATTGCCACTGTTTGGTTAACTCAGCTCCTTTCAGAGTTCTAGAGAATCTGCTAATCCACCAAGGCACTTTGATCTTCAAGTCTCAAATTCTTCTTGCTCCAAAGCAAGGCATCTACTCCTTCACATAGCTCCCGCAAACTGCATGAGATGAAGCATTAATTCCATTCATACCTGAGAAGATCAATTTATCTTCAAATGATGTGCCACAACATCACTTGAGGCCTTGAAGTTTCTGTTTGATGTCACAACTTCGGTTAAGACATCTAGTTGGAGAGTTCAGGCTTTCATTCTGCCACTTAGAATATTCTCTTCACTCAATCAGAACAAGAGTACATAGGCTTGATATCAAGTTGGAGTAGACAACCTCTATTCTGCTTTGTTGTACCACAAAAATTACCTTGAAGTGCATTTTCTTCATGAACCCCTCTTAAGAGAAACCAAACATGCCACTTAGGACACTCTTGACTTGGATTTCTTGGAACCAAATGAGATCTTAGGGACTCTTGAGATGCATGAAGACCTCCTTGGTTGACTTCTCACTTAACTCTTGATTAATCAGGACTTTTTCTTTTTCTCCACAAACCCTAATTCCACAAAACAAACAAAACCAAAAAGCTTGATGATTTGGTTAGTGATGCAAGGATATTGATCTATGATGCTCATGCAAATGTTGATGACATCTAAAAGGTAAAATTTGGGGTATGACAAGGGTCCTGCTGATTGATTTGTTGAGATGTGCTAATGACTCATTTTCTGTATGGATGATGTGAATATTACTTTTGACTTAAACATATTGTGTTTGATGTAAATATTAATTTTGACTTTTGATTCACAACGTTAGTTATTTTTTATGCTCTTTATGCATGGTTAACAAAAATATAGGTTGTTGTAAATTCTCTGGTATGATTATAATAGTTACAGGATAAAAAATGGAAAGAATTTGAAAAGTAGAGAATTGCATATTTAAAACAGAGGAAGTTTTGACAGCAGTTGGATTAACTAACTGTTGTGATATTGAACGTTGACCAAATTCGATCACAACGGTTGGATTAACTAGCCCGTTGTGATATGGCGTGTGCCTTTTAGAATACAACAATGGTCTCAGGACCGTGATTGTAAGTACCGCATATACAACGACACGCTACATAATAATGCCTGGTCCCCCGTTGTTATATATTTTTCCCAACCATTGTTAAATGTCTTTTCTGTAGTAATGCATACATAAATTAGTTGAATACATGTTAAAAAGGGTTAATCGTATGTACGTATTCTGATCATACTGTTTTATATGAATCAATCATTTATATGATATGGATGTTATCCTTGTTTACTTGTTTACACATTAATGTGAACCGTTATAGACATATACTCTTCAAATATGGATATAGGATAAATACTTGTTAGGTTCTAAACTCTAGACATAGATTTATATTTAACATTCATGTGAGTATTAGTTCTTAATGCTCTATGTTATTGAGTTTTGTGAGACATCACCAATGAGACAATACGGTTTTTCTCTCGACTTTGCGTTAGAAGACATAACCTCTGTTGTGGGTGATACGTGAGGGTATCAAACGAATGATTAATTTGTGTTTAATTGGTCAGAAGAATGCATGTGTTATCGATTGATGAAATTCAAATCCAACAAGACTCTGTTTATTTTAAGTATTTACTTTATATTTTTCGCTTTTATCTATTGTACCTTGAATTTTTCAACCAAAATTTTCACAACAAGCTTAGAAACGTAGAGACCGTTGAACGACGTTCTTTCCCTTGTACCGATGGAGACGACAAAATCAAATACTTAATAATTTTTGCTTGCCGCTTTACCGCATCAACATTGATCATAACAAAATTTCACTAGTTAGTTGTGTGAAGGTTAGAAGGTAATTCTTAGACATAGCCAAAGTTACCATATATAGTGATTGTAATGCATTGTAATAATTAGATTTGTGAAATATAATTTGATATTACATTGAAGCTCTCTCGATTCTTGTTTCATGGTGTTCTTAGTTTAAGTTTTCATACTTACACCAGATTTATTGCACTAATACATATTAATTACGTGAAATAAATTGTTTCCTTGTTTCACATCCTATCTAAATAAAAAGCATACACTCATATATGAATTTCCTTGATTAATGTGGATTTCAAACTGCATTAATTTTAAAATGTGGGTATCATACAAATGGTGCAATGTCAAGATCCTCAATCCAACATTTTATGATTAACGAATGGCTTAACATATTCTAAACATTGCACAGACCAAACATAAATGGTCAAAAAAATCAGATTTAACTCGACTCTGAATCCCAAATGCTTGCTTAGATCATATATAAAGCCTAACATGAAGATAAACTTGTGTTGCATTTGCATATGTTTTTGCATAACTTGTTAGGTATTTTAGTATATGAATTGTGCTTACATTGATTGTGGATTGTAGTAATGATCCAAGAACCAAACCTAGATTTATTGCAACCAAATCTATGTCTTTCTCTTTTTCTATATCCCATGTTGCTTGTTCTAGCATTGCTTTACCAAAGAAATACCAATTCTACAATATTTAAATTTTCAATTAAATATTCAGTAAACTAAATATTGTATTTAAAGCAAATCTGGTTAAACCTCCTCATGAAAGATTTGTTTAATTAAATATTTTTCAACCAAAATGTTTGTAAATAAATTTTATTAGAATCTTAGACCAAACAAATCGAGATAGATATTTTTGAAAAACGCTCTCAAATAAATCTAGAATGAAATGTAAAATAAAATTATCTAAAATCAAAATTTCAAAAATAGTATGTCAGAAATTCATGGAGTCAAGATGTGCTTAACAAATTTCGAAACATTTTACTTAACATTTTGCATATAAAACTATGTTAATCTAAATGTAATAACAAAAATACTTCTGATGCGATGATCATAATTCTTTGATGATCTAAGATGTTTCTTGCAAAAAAAGATTAACACTTTAACACTCAAGTGAGTATGAGATTAATGTGAAACTTTCAAAGTATGAGTTAAATTGTATCCAAGTGTAACTTAGAGTTACACTTGTATAAGAGGGGCAGTCACAGAGTTGTCTGATATGGAGTGCAGGTAACCATTGGATACAAACCAATGATTTTAATGGAAGGAAAAGTGTGTTCATGTGTGACGCCTAAAAATATAACTTTTTATCATTGCTTCAGCCCATTGCTTCAGCATGACATGCCCCAAAAGTAACTTTTTATCATTGAGAGAGTAGTTGTTTCTCCAACCGCCTATATGGTTACTTCTTGAAGCAACACAAAATTGAATTAGAATATCCATATAATAATCTTTTAAATATGAGTAGTTATATATGAGTTAAAATTGTGGGTTCTAGAATGAGTTATTTTTTAGAGTTGTACTATTGAGTAAAATTTAAATAAATTGCTTCAAGATGAAGTGATTTAATAAATAAAAAAAACTCAAAAATAAATAGCATTATTAAAAATATATTAACACTCTTTACTTAGATTGTACTTTGTAAATTGAATCGGTATTTATGGATCATTTATTTGTCAACCCACAACAAATAGTTTTAAATTTAAATTCAAATTTTAACATGTACAAGAAATTATATGAGTATATGGTTTATATTTTGAGAATTTCTTAATGCACCCTAGATAGTTTTTAGCCATCATGTAAAATTATTTAAATATCCATAGATTTTGGAGATGTATCTTCGGAGGCACCTATTTCTGAATAAATATTAACAAATTTCTGATCGAGATGCATCTACGGAAGCACCATTAAACTAAAACGTGGAACAATTCTGGAGATGCATCTCCGAATTCTCCTAAAGTATATGAAATGATAAAGAATTCAGGAGATGCATCTCCAAAATGTTCTACAACTCAGAAGTTGCGTTAATGGCGAATGTACCACATGTAACTTGACAAAAATATGATATGATCACGAATTTCAGCTAGTAAACAAGTTATACACTAAGTCTAAACTATGTTACATGTGATTCCTACACATTTCTAACTCTAATAATTGATTTTTACGTATTTACGCTAAAATTCAAAATTTACTGAAAACTCGAAAAACTTACTTAAAATTTATGGTTTTGACGAAATTGAATGATTTTATAGATAATACTTAATGAGAAAGGAGAAGAGTCTGACGCAATTTATATTCTAAAATATTTCAGAAATATATCTTTAAAATATTTTAACATTCACTTATATTGAGATACGTCCAGAGATATATCTCTAAAAGCAAAAAAATATTTGTGAAATTTTATATAGTAGAGTAAAATTATTAAGGGTGTTATAAGAAACTTAAGAAAAAACTTTTTTATATTTTTTGGGCTTAGAAGAAAGATTAGGCCAAGCAAGACCCATCTCATGGTTGATGGTTTTTCTGTTCGCACACAGTCAGAGACTGTCTCTCTCTCTCTCTCTCAACGAGAACAACTAAACTAAACTACCTACTTTACCTACCATTTTACCGTCAGAAAAAATTCCTGAAATTTCACCACCTTTAACCCTACACAATGCTTTATCACACTCTATTCATCCTCCATTTCTTTCTCTTCATCACTTTCATTCTCCCTTCACTCTCTCTTCTTCACAAAACGTCACACTCTTTGGTGATGCTTCTTTCACAGACACCTCCATTAGTCTCACCAAACAAAAACTCACCTGTCTTTCTTCTTCAACTTCTGGAACGGGAAGAGCCTTCTACCTCTACCCTGTTCGTTTTCTTGATCCCTTAACAAACTCAACCGCTTCTTTTCGTGTCGTTTCTCTTTCTCAATCCATTCATCACCTTCTTGTCCTTCTTCCTCTGGTGACGGCATTGCCTTTCTCATTTCTTCAACGACTGATTTCTCATCTCTCTCTAATGGTTACATGGGTCTTCCGAGTTCGGACAAAGATTCTTACTTTGCGGTTGAATTCGACACGAGTTTCGATCCTTCTCTGGGTGACATTAATGGTAATCACATTGGTATTGATCTTAGCAGTGTTGTTTCTTTTGCTTCTGTTGATGTTCTTTCACGTGGGGTTGATTTGAAAAGTGAGAAAATCATCACTGCATGGATTGAGTATCGAGATGACATGAAAATGGTTCGTGTTTGGGTTGGTTACTCTTCAACTAGACCTCCAACACCGATTCTTGCATCACTCATTGATCTTTCTGAGAGATTCAGAGAGTTTATGCATGTTGGTTTCTCGGCTTCTAATGGAAAAGGTTCGAGTATTCACCTTGTTCATCATTGGCAGTTCAAAACTCTGAGTTATTCTCATTCAGTTAGTCCTATGGATAATTTAGAAGAAGGTGATTGTTTCTTGTGCTATGCCGGCGATTTGAAAGCGTCAGGTGACATTTTTCAAGGGAAAAAGATTAGTGATTTTGCTCTTGGAATTGGTGGAATAACAGCTTTTGTTGTGTCAGCATTGGCTTTGATTGTTGTGATATGTGTTTACATGAAAAGGAAAAAGGGGGGTGGAATTAGGGAAGGACAGAATTGTAGATTTCAGACAAATAAAGTTCCAATGAGGTTATCACTTTCAGAGATAACATCAGCTACAATGGGGTTTAACAGAAATAGACTAGTTGGTGAAGGTGCATCTGCAAAAGTTTATAAAGGGTCACTTCCATTTGGAGGTGATGTAGCTGTGAAGAGATTCGAAAAAGTCGATGATTTGGACTGTTTACACAATCCTTTTGCCACCGAATTTGCCACAATGGTTGGTTGCTTGCGGCACAAGAATCTGGTTCAGCTCAAAGGATGGTGCTGTGAAGAGAATGAATTGGTTTTGGTTTATGAGTATCTACCTAATGGAAGCCTTGATAAAGTTCTGCATAAAAATTTAAGATCTTCATTTGTGCTTTCATGGAAACAAAGAGTTAATATAATCCTCGGCGTCCGCGGCTGCACTTACCTATCTTCATGAAGAATGTGAGAGACAGATCTTCATAGAGATGTGAAGACATGTAACATAATGCTTGATGTAGATTTCAATGCGAAACTTGGCGATTTCGGGCTTGCAGAAGTGTATGAACATAGTTCTAGCACAAGGGATGCTACTATACCAGCAGGAACAATGGGGTATCTAGCGCCCGAATACGTTTATACCGGGATTCCTACGGTGAAGACCGATGTATATAGTTTCGGAGTCGTGATGATTGAAGTCGCGACCGGGAGGAAACCCGTTGGAGACGACGGAACTGTCGTCGGCGACTACGTTTGGACTCTGTGGGAAAAGAATAGACTCGTGGAGGCGGCGGATCCGAAACTGATGGGGGAATTCGATATTGTGGAGATGGAGAGATTGTTATTGGTAGGGCTTGTTTGTGTTCATCCTGATAATGAAAAGAGGCCTAGAGTGAGGGATGCAGCTAGAATGATTAAGAGAGAAGCATCAGTTCCTTTGTTGCCACCATGTAAACCAAGGGTGAGGATTAGGCCTATTTGTCCTGATGAAACACAGAATCTTGGTTGTGATTGCGTTAGTAATGATGAAGCTCTTTATATGACTCCTAGGAGCCAGTTTTACTAGGATTTTTTGTGTTCAGGAATCAGTTTTTTGATGATTGGATCTTGTAATTTTTTAAGCCGTAAGAAAAAGTTCTTGTTTTCTATAGCACTTATGAACCAAAATTATTATAATGCACCTTGTTTTGATTAGATGATTTTATAACATTAAGGGACATTGTTTCAAGCTTAATGTGACAAGCTAAGTAAGTTTATGTGATAAGCTAACAAGAAATTAATGTTAGAGATTGATCAGAATTTGTCAGACTCAAAAACAAATTGAGATTGGTAAGAAGCAGAAGAAAACAAAACGTAGTAGATATGTCTGAATGTTCATAATTGCTATACATGAAAAAAAGTAAAAAAATTCTATATAAGAAGCAACATCAGTTATGGTTGCCAGTATTCAGATTTCCGTTTGGAGAAAAATGAAAGGACAAACATTGTATGAATCACACAGATTTCAGTTTTTATCAAATCTGGGTGATTCCCACTTTTGTTTCGTAATTCAATCTTGGCCATTCGTTTCAAAATTTTGAAGATCCAATTGTTAAAGTTTCTTAATTTTTTATTTTGGTACAGTATTCATTTATGTTTATTAACCCACAGTACTAATTACTCTTTTTGGTTGAGTACCTTAATTACCATCTTTCTTCTATAGTTGGGGCCATATTCAATGAATCTACCTGCCAACCTACAATTAAATCTCACACTCCTCCCAATTTGTATGAAAAGACTAAAATAACTTTCCAAATATATTTTTTATATTTTAAAATTTGCAGTTCATAAACTGGATTTTCAAATTTTAGAAAGGATATTGAAAATTTCAAAACATCTATCGAAAATTTTAAAAACAATAAATTTTTATTTTAAAAACAATAAATTTTTATTGAAATTTTCATTATTTACAGTATTTTGTATCGGAAATTTTGAGTTTTTTAGTATTTTTTACCTGAATTTTCATAATTTCCGCTAATTTTATCGAAAATTTCAAAATTTTCAATGTAAACCTCAATTTTTGTTACCGGAAATTTCAAAATTTTTATTAGTATAAAATACTAGTTTTGTATCTTACCGGAAATTTCAAAATTTCTGATAATTATAAAATTTTAATTTTATACAGGAAATTAATTTTCAGTAGTTATAAAAATTTAGTTTTATATCGAAAATTGTGAAATTTTCGGTAGTTATAAAAAGTTAGTTTTGTACAGGAAATTTCAAATTTTTCGGTAGTTACAAAAATTTAGTTTTATACCGGAAATTTTAGAATACCAGTAGTTGTTGTCTTTGTTTTTTTCCCTCTTCTTTTGCAGTGAAAATCAGAGGCAGAGACGATACTATTGTAAAGGAGAGATGCAGATCGAGTATCAAATCAGGGTAGGGCTACTTGTGGTGTTGATGCTGAGTCTTCCCATCTACGGGCAGAACAAATGGTCCCCACCAGTTCACACCGGAAGCGGATGGTGGAACGAGGGCATTTCTGGGCACCTCGTTCTACACGACGCCAACCAGTTATATCATCATAACAAGCTACATATGAGGTGCTGGCAGACGTTCTCATAATTGAGCCGGTGGTTGAGCTGGTGGTTGTGTCGGTGGTTGAGCCAGTAGTTGAGCCACTGGTTGAGTCGGTGGTTGCTCAGGTAGTTGAGTTGGTGGTTGTTCAGGAGGCTGTCAAGGAGGTTGCCCGGGAGGCTGTTGAGGAGGTACGATCAGATGCTGTTGTTGGTGAGTCGGGCCCATCAGTTACTGTTGAGACAGAGGTTACAGTTCATTTGACTGAGTCCTTTGTGCACACTGATGGAGGGTTCCCATGAGGACCCATTGACCGGTCTGTGCTTACAGAGTATGGTGAGCATGCGACCTTACGATTATGGCAGGACGAGGTATATGTCTTTTATGTTTAAATTTAAATTGTGTTTATATATGTATAATTTATTTAAGTATGAAATAATTTGTTTATATTTTGTTGTCACAGGAGCAAGCCGCACTGAGGATCACATTTCACGGGTCGAAGATGAAGGGCTTCCCGAAGATTCTGATGCCTGAGTAGGTCAGTCAGATTATACGGGACTTCCAACTGTTTGATTTCGCCCACTGCTCACTCACCATGTTGGACGCTCCATTTCTTAGTTCCTTTGTTGAGTGGTGGCACAAGGAGACATCATCATTTCATCTTCCTTTCGGGGAGATAAAGGTCAATGTGGATGATGTCTTTGCATTGTTCCATCTCCATATCAGCAACAGATTATGGACGGCTCAGATTCCTAACGTGACTACTGCTTGTCAAATTATGTCACATGATTTGAGTTTGCCTGAGGCGGAGGTCCTAAAGAAGTTTGGTGATACCAAAGGTGCACACCTTCGTATGCACTTGCTTCGAAAGATTTACGACGAGCTTGTCGCTACTGGGATATGAGGTTGTCGCTAGGGCATACATGCTACATGTAGTAACATGTACTTTCTTTGCGGACAAGTCTGGTACTTATGTTGATGCCCGATATTAGTGCCTCTTCAGTAACCTCAAGGAGACCAACTGGGCTTGGGGGTGTGCAGCGCTGACCTAGTTGTATACAGTTTGCTGGGTATTTGAGCCTGTTATAGGTATATTTTAAATTATTTTATTTATATTGCTTTCGTATTTATTTTTTACGAATATCATTTCTAAATTATTATTTGTTGTGATTTCAATGCTAGATCTACGAGCATTTCCCTACCATCTGTGATAGGAGGGTGCAACATTGTGAGGTGGGGGCCCCACGGGCGAAGAGGTGGAAGGGAAGGCAGGCACATCCTGGTGGTCTAGCTGAGTATATGAGGAGGCTGAATGCGCTGACCGTAGATGATGTCATCTGGACACCATACGATGCTCATAGAATCCACCGTGAGTTCGAGTAGTCCTTCTTATATTCAGGTTATATGTGATGGGAGACCATGGTTATAAGACACTTTTCTGAGAGGTGTCTGCGACAATATGGCTACGTTCAGAGTATACCACATCCAGTTCCAGATATTTCAGCTTCAGGGATTGATTGGTGGTTTCATAGTAATTTCCTCTGCTCCGGTCGTGCCATCAGAGATCGAGCGGTCCCTGTTCAGCATCCCTCGCAGTGTGAGGATGGTTACTTATAGTGGTACCTCATTATATCACATCCATTCATCACCCCACCCAGCTAATGATGGGCCTTCTAATGATCAGTTGCTTGTTAACGATGCGTCGTCGCCACCTCCTCTAGTAGATCACGCTGATGACCAGCAGAACTTCTAGATGATTGTAGTGATTACAGATGAGCTCATGGGTTTGGTAAACCCAGATGGTGACGTTTATTTTGGATTAGCTTGGATTGCACACATAGCCCGTGGGGGGCCTATTTAGATATATTTTTGTATTATTTGTATTTAATGTATTATATGTATATTATTCAGACGTCTTTCTCAGAATATTTTATTAGCTAATATTATTGATCTTTCTTAAATTGCAGTGTGAAAGTTAACATACATCTGACCATGGTTTTCATAACTTAAACATAAAACACTTAACATTATAATATGGTTAATAAATAAGAAAAACATAAACATTACCAGACGCTTCAGGACGTTTCAACAACTCTATTATGTCGTCAACGGATCTTGGCAGTTTCACATCTAACTCAATCAGACCATTTGTTATCCTACGGCAAAATGATCTTCACATTTCCTTCACATCTTCGTTGTCTTCAACTCAACAAGGTTGTATTTCACCCTCCTGTTTGTATCGATCCAATCTTCATAAAACTTGATCTTTCTCACCTTTCTATTGTCGCCGTCAGGCAACAATTCATTCAACTTCGACATTAGGCTGGCAAAAGAGGTGGTGTCATCGGGAAGCTTGAACTCTAGAGGAGGAGAAGTTCTAATGAAGTAAACTTCTGACTTAATCATAAATTAAGAAAGAGATATTTTTTTAAGATATGTTTCTCAATAAGAGGTGACTCCAATTTATACAATTGTGAATCAATTCTGAACCACACAAATTGTCGGCGCAATCACAACCGCACAATACTATCAGCAAAATATGGCTATCCAAAAAATCCTAAAAATGAAACTATCGGAAATTTCACCTCAAGTAAAATTTCCAGTATACACCCAGAAATTTCATATTTCCGAAACAATTTTCACTTCACCAAAAATTTGAAATTTTCAATACACTAGAAATTTCAAACTATACCAAAATTTTTGATATAACTACCAAAAATTTAATGTGTTTTTTTTCTTAAAAGCAGTTTTGACATTATAAAAAATTAGGGGAAGTAAATTTAATTGTGGGAGTGGCAGATAGAATCTTCGCCGTATCTATACACATCGAGTACTTCTAAAAAAAAATTAAATAAAAATATAAATAGAAGAATTAATAATTAACCATTAAAATAAATATAAATAAATAAATTACTAGAATATCTTAGAATTTATTCTGCTTCATATTCGTATAATATATATATATATATATATATATATATATATATATATATATATATATATATATATATATATATATATATATATATATATATATATATATATATATATATATATATATATATATATATATATATATATATATATATATATATATTTTAATTATTATAATTATAAAAAAATATGATTATCAATTTAAAAAGAAATACTATTATAAAATATTATGCATTTTAAAATAAATATTTGTCTGTTTCATAATTCAATAATATAATATTAAAAAAATATTATTAACAATTTAAAATGATAATATTCTACAATTGATCAATTTATTTTTATTTAAAATACAAATAAAGAGTATATAAATAATTAAATATTCATAGAGTATAAATATAAATGTTGGTATCACGCCGTAATAAACTAAAATATTAAGATTTTTTAAAACAATGACTATCATGTATAAATACGATTGTCATTCTTCCTTTTTCCTGTCTTTAAGCATATCGACTACTCAGACTTTTAAATTCGAAATAAAACTATAACTAGTGTAATATCTTGAATTTTTTTCTAAAATTAAATTTCATTTTAAATGCTCAATTCCAAAATTTAACTTAAATTTCTTGTTTTTAAGATTTTCATTTGGGTTTGTATACAAAGTGGCAATCACCATAAATATGACTCCAGATTTATCTAACTACGACACAAGACTTTAGGCACATTTTAATGTTTTATACATTTACAATGATACACTCAAGTAAAGAAATAATATTTCAGTCTTGATTTAATCATATTTTACAATAAAATTCAAGTGACAAAGTTTTAAGGTTATGAAAGCATTCCATTTTAATTTATGATTTAGTTGGTTCATGCGGAAAGAGATTTTACAATCTTTATATTAGTGTATATATTTCAAGAATAAATATTACAGCATAATGAGATATTATTCTGTATCAACATAACAAAAATTACACAATTGGTAAATCATAATATATATAATAATTACAGAGATATTTGACTCAAAATTAAAATACACCACCTCTTTATTCTATATTAACTTTTTTTCTTTTTACAGAACATTACGTTCTTATTTAAATTTGCACAATTTAGGTATTTATTTTACCCTATCATAATTTTATTTATCAAACCTATCTATATATAGATAAAATAAAATTTTCTTTTGTAAATTCAGCTAATTTTAAATTAAAAAAAAACTGAGATTTTGAAGTTATTTTGTGTTTCAAAACCTTTGTTTTTGCTTCCGAATCCTGAAAATCGCTTCTCATTCGGTAATTCATAATTGTGTGAGGATCGAAAAGCGAAACACTTCAAAATCGCTTTTCAGTTATAATCGCTTCTCAGTAATAATATTGAAATCCAAACATCGCTTTCTTGATTGCTTCATTCTGCTCACAACAATATCAATGGTAATTTTTCTTTCTCTTTTGATTAATTCACTGTTCAATTGTTCTTTTTGTTAACGAAATTTCGATAAATCTTTGTTTTTGTGATTTTTAATTGCAATGTTATTTTAGAAATTCAATGTCCTGATCCTACTCACTGATTTTTAATTACAATTAATAAATCTCTGTTTCTGTAATTTAGGTTTATTTTAATGCTTTTGATCAAGAATATTATTGACTGTTATCGTGATTCATGGACATACCAACAATTCTGCTGCATGCTAATATGATTGATTTAGCTTCATAATGTATGAAGAAATGTTGATTTTTTTTTTTATCAAAAGAAGAAATGTTGATTTAGTAACCAATTTGGAGTTTTTTTTTTTTTTTTTAACAATGTACTAAATGTTTATGTTCTGATTTTTGGCAAAATTGTTGGAGCTCAAAATGGGGGAAAGTGGTATTAACTTGTAGTAATTGTGTTTTTCATCGAATGCGCACGCGCACGACTCAGAAGTCGAGAGCTGGGCCTACTAATGAACTACAGATTTTATGTGCAGACATGAATCATGATACATCTGTTATAGTTTTTATAGAAGAATTCATATGCGGAGTTTCACTTTTGATCTTACTGAGTTAGGAACCATTTCAGTAAAAATCTGTATACCTGTTGCAGGAAAGTGTTTGTCTCAAGTGTGGCGATGTAGGTTTTATCGAGGCGATAGTTTTTTGTAACAAGTGTGAGGCTTGTGCTCTTCACAGGTACTTATTGTTCACTTCACTTCTTTTCGCTGCTTTATTTGATGCTCTTATTGCAAGTTTTTGTCATCATATTTAGCTTCAGGTGTCAATACCTCAAATGCTACTCACACATTCTTTGATAGTTCTACCATTATTATCGGTTTTAATATAACATGTAGTAATTCTTGTATGTGTTGTGTTATATAAAGTAGATACATTAATTTGGATTTTAATAAAAGTGCTTTTAGAATTATGTTTTAATTCGGAAGTAGGTATTCTTCCATCTGTGCTTTGCTCTAGATGCCTCTCTTTCTTTATATTGTCATATGGATATTCTCAAAATTCGAATAGGTTCTGAAAAGAAGGTTTGGGAGTGTTCCTATGCATTATAATTGGGTTTGTGTAAAGCAAAAGATTGCTGAATAGATAACAAATGCAATTGTGTTAATACCATTATTCACTTCAACTTGAATCTGTTTTTTCGCCCAATGTTTTATTCAATAGAAATTTGGAATTTTATTAAGTTGCAATGAAGTCCTTTTTTTCTTCCAGGTACTGTTTAGATGGACCTGTGATTTTTACCGATGAAGTTATATGGTTTTGTGAGGATTGTGAACCAAAGCAAATATCTCAAAAAACTAAATCTAGAAGTTTGGCCAATAACGCACTCCGAACCCGAAGAAAACTGAAACATTGTGTAAAGAGACTGAAGGTAAGAAACCAACAGCACAAAAAGAAGATTATAGAGGAGCGGAAGAATGGAAATGTTAACTCTGGCATGCATAATATCAGCCACGAACAAGAAACTGAATCTAAAATTGAGTGTGAACCAGTTCGATCAAATGCACCAAATACCAATGTTGTTCCTAAATCTGTTCTAATCTCTCAAGTAACTGCCACTGATGATTTAATTCCATTAGAAGTTCATGTTGATGCACAGCCGATTGCTGAACCAATGTGGAGGTATCAATTTTGTTTTGTCTCCGTTGTTTGAAAATCGGTGAACTTTTATAGCTTAATGGTGAATATCATTGAAGTTGAAATTTCTGGTTAATAGGGGAAATTTGCTCTTCTGTGATAAAAGTAAAACTATCGGTACTGTCCTGGCCCATTTGTCCAGTTTAGCATCCCCCAAAGTTCTGGAGGAAGCTGATCTTTTCCCAGAAGTGCTTTCCGCTGATTTGCTTCCCAGATCTGTTGTGTGGCCTAATAGCTTCAAGAAGGAAGGACCAACTGATAAGAGCATTGCTCTTTATTTCTTTCCAGTGAATGAAAGGTAATTTCTTAGACAAGTATTAAATAATGTAAATGTGATCTTTCTTTAAATTGATATATCTATATAATATTTCCCCTACAGGTCATCGATAAACGCCTTTGACATGCTGGTTGATGATATCATTCGGACTGATGATGCCATAAGAGTCGCGACCGAAAATGCAGTGCTTTTAATTTTTCCTTCCACCTTGCTTCCAACCCAACATCAGAGTGAGTTTCATCTATTCTAGCTCTTCAGTCGAACATTTCAGTCAAATTATTTATACATCTTAAGATTCCATTTTAATTTGAGTTATCATTTGGACAGGGTTTCAATCCAAGCATTACTTGTGGGGTGTCTTCAAGAAAAAGAAAACTTCACTCAAGACAAACGATGCTGTGTGCTGATAGAATGCTCATGTTTCAATCCAAGCATTACTTGTGGGGTGTCTTCAAGAAAAAGAAAACTTCACTCAAGACAAACGATGCTGTGTGCTGATAGAATGCTCTTGAAAAATGATAGTAGCTATAGTTATAATGCATAGATTGTACTCCTGTTGTAGTTATATGATATTTGCATGTTGAGATGTTGGAATGGATCGGTAGTTTTGTTTAATCATTTCATATGTGCATGATGTGATGGTGTTACTTACTTGCATAATTAGTCATTATTTAGGTAAGGATCATATTCTTAACTAACCCTTAGTTAATTTTGTGTCTTCACTGTGAATCATATGAAGTGTTCAATGTTAGAAATTATATATCGTAAGAGTTGTCATTTTTACCGTTTTTTGTTCAAGTGAGTTACTGCATCTGCCATTCACAGCCATAAGGGTGGGTTTTTTTCCAGCCCATTTTCATTGATCTAAGGTATAAGTCATCAATTACATATTTTCCTCTGCTATATCAGTTTAACTCTTTGAGAGAAGAAACTAAAGTAGAAAAATCAAGCAGAAGAATGAAAAAAATGCATGAAACCAAGGCCAGACAGAGTTTATCAAAAAATGGAAATGCCTATTACATTAACAGTTTCTAATTTGAAGAGATTGTGATGAACAAAAAAGTTTTCCATCATAACAAGCTACTGCTATTGTAGATTCTCAACTTGCTTGTGCAATTTAACCTTCTGCTAATTCTATACAGAAAAAATAAATATTTCTGCCATAGCTCCAAATCTGATTACTGATGATATCATTTGCATTCCAAATTTTCGCTTTAATCTAATTTCAGTCATTTCCTTGATAATTAACTTGAATCTCTCTTTGGTCTTCACTTACAATGCATTCTGAATTCAAGACCAAGAGAAGAGGATTATTGATGAGTACTAGAGTTCCTCTTATATTCGGTTCCTTTTCAAAAAGATTTTTTTATACTTTTTAGAAACAAAAGCCAAATTTCAGAATTTTTGCATTTTTTCAAATGTCGAAACCATACAATTTTCGAACATTTCCAAATAGCTAACATATCTTAAACATAATTCAACTTTAGTTTTCCTTTTAAATTAAGGCGTGGAAGATGATATTAAAATTCTAAATTACATTTGGATTTTACTAAGGTATTGTATTCACTACTACATGAGTATGTTTAAGATCAATTGATACTATAAATTGTTATAAATTGTTGGGTAAAAGCTCAATTACAAGAACAATGATGAATAATGAAGAGGTGGAGAGAATGAGAGTATTAGAGTAAATTAAGATGAAAATATGACATTTTAATATGGATATTTAAACTATCATATAAAACAATACAACTAATCAACTAATTATCCAATATGAATATTTAAACCATCGTATAAAACAATACAACTAACCAACTAATGAGAAAAAAAAAATCACAAGCAATCAATTGCACTAAATCTCTGCCTCAAAAATACAAAATTGGAAGGGATGCAACATGTTGCACATTTACTGCAACTTGTTGTGCCAAAGCATTGCTAAAAAGCTGAACACTGCAGAACAAGGGTATAACCTGTTGCATATTTACTACAACATGTTGCACTCACTTGAATTATATTTTCTCAACACACCGCCTTAATTCAAGTCCTCCAAGTCTTTCATATTTATGTGCTCCTTCAATCTCTTGAACACTTCAATTATTACTTTTTTAGTTAGCAAATCGGCCACTTGATCTTCACTTTTGCAATACACCAACTTCAATTTTCCTTCACTTACAAGCTCTCTCAAATAGTAAAATATCATCTCTATGTGCTTGTTTCTCCCTTGTGAAATGAGATTATTAGCAAGGTATATAGGAGAAACATTGACTATCAACAAAGTCAGAACTTCATACTCTTCGTTGCATAACTTCTTCATCAAATTCATCAACTATACAACTTGACATAAACACATAGATTCGTAATATACTCGGTCTTGCAAGAAGAGAGCGACACAACTTATTCCTTCTTAGAACACTAAGAAATTGGTGTTTTTCCACACATAAAGATGTATCTAGTAGTGAATTTTCTGTCATCTTTATCTTCAAACCAGTTTAAGTCAGTATAACTGAGAAATTTGCAACTTCTACCTTTATCTGTTGCGAAAAATAGAATTTCGTAACCAATCAAACTTTTGATGTATCTCGGAATTCTAATGACTGCTACCAAGTGTGATGCCTTTAGCTTTCCCAAAAATCTACTCACCATGCCAACACTAAATGCCAAGTCTGGTCTCGTATTGCACAAGTACCGCAATGATCCAATTAATCTCTTGTACTGTGTTGGATTAATATCATGCTCGTCTTCATTATTTGATAGATTCTATCTTGGCTCTGCATGGGTAATCACCACATTATAATGTTCCATTTCGAACTTCTTCAATATCTCAAAAGCATACTTCATTTGATGCATGAGCAGTTTCTTTTCGGACTTGTGAAACTCAATACCAAGGAAATATGTCATGAGACCAAGATCAGTCATGTCAAACTCCTTCATTAAATCACCTTTGAACTCAGCAATGTAACCTTCATTGCTTCCCGTAATCAATCAATCGTCAGCGTAGAGACATATGATGATTACTCTTTTGCTTGCATCCTTCTTCACTTACACACCATGTTCAGATATGCATTTATCAAATCCTATCTCTTTTAGAAATCCATCAATTCTTTTGTTCTAAGCTCTCAGTGCTTGCTTCATCTCATACAACGCCTTCTTCAATCTATAGAACTTAGATTCCTGACTTTTTACAATAAAACTAGGAATTTGTACCACATAAACCTATTCTTCAAAAGAGTCATTAGAAAACAAAATTTTGACATCCATTTGACAAATGGATCAATTGTTGTTATTTCCAATACCAATAACTAGCCTAATAGTTCCAACTTTAGCCACTGGTGCAAATACTTCTTCAAAGTCTATACCTTCTCTTTGCAAAAATGTCTTTGCAACTAATCGAACTTTATGCTTGATTATCTCACCCTTGGAATTTACCATCACTTTTTACACCCATCTCACACCAATTGGCTTCTTTCCTTTCGCTAGGTCAAATAGTTCCCATGTCCTATTTTTCTCAATTGATTGCATCTCTTCCTTCATTAGCATATATCCACTTTAGATCACTCAAGGCCTCCTCCATTTTTACAAGTTTAGATCAAACCATGAGTGCAAAATGGACTACATCACCATTGTCATTTACTTCAATATTCAGGAACAACTAATAATCTTGTAGTCTTGAGGGCATGCTTTTTTGCCTCGTTGATCTTCTCATATTTTCTTTAGCTTGAAATTCATCGCCTGCATTTTTTGCATTTTCAAACACCGCATAAACATTTCTAGCACCATTTGAATTAAACTCTGCATGTTGTCATTCCTTCAATTGATTAAAAATCTTGTTCCTACTGATTACAATTATTTTGTTGAGTGCGCTATAGAGTTTGTAGCCATCCGTATAGTTGTAACACCCCAAATTCTTGGAATATTTATTTAATTTATTTAAATATGAATATTCGTATTTTTGGTGATTTTCGGTGGTTGGTGTGAATATTGAGAATTATGGATTTTGGGTTATTTATTTAAATAATAGTATATAATATGAATATATTGGTATTATTATTATTAATTTAAATAAATATAAGTGAATTAAGGGAAAAATGGACATTTGAGGAGGAGTTAGTGAGGGTGAAGTTGGAAAGCTCAATTTTAAGGCCCAAAGTTAGGTTTAACAAAAAGGAATTTTGAGGGAATTAGGATTCATTCTTGTTAGACTGTGAAAAGGGAAGAAATAGAGGCCAGAGCTCTTAGGAAGAGGATTGAGGCAAAAGCTTCGCAAGGTTTCCAAGAATCAAGGAGAAAGGCTTAGAGTCGGCAATTAAGGTATGAGGAGTATTACCTTCATTGTTTTCAATATGTGATTCAATGTGTTTAAAGCTGATTTAAGGGTTTAGGGATATTGAGTATTGAATTGTTGTTGCCTTTCTGATGGTGAGTTCAATGAGTTTGAGGGATTTGAACTGATGGTCTGATATGCTTGAGGCTATTTTAGATAAGGGAAATTAGACCTTCGTGGCCAAAATATGTTGTTGAGGTTTTAACCGTATAGGGTAATTGATTGTGAGAACTTTAATGACTGTGGGGTATTTGTAAGAAATTATGGGAATTTGAGGTGTAAGTATGATACGGGATTGGCCTAATAAGTCGTAGATTTTGTGCCTTTATCGTCGTAATACCTTAGGAATGATTTAGGGATGTTTTTAGGGCATTGGTGAAGGAAATCGTAGAGGTTTTTGGTTTGGTTTTGGTGCTGGTGCGTAACAGTGATTTGCTGTAATCGTGAGTTTGCATAACGAACATTCGCCCCATACTCGCACGGCGAATTTGCCAGCGAACGTAGCAGAGTTTTGCGAATTATGTTCTGGTTCAGTGATGTCTTGATGTTTTGATGCTGTGATTTTCCTGATGAATTACCATGAGTGTAATTGTGCTTCCTATGTGATTAAATGAATGTATGATGAATTACTATGAGTATAGTTGTGATTCCTATGTGATTAATACATGACCGTATGATGAGTACCCATGAGTATAATTGTGATTCTTATGAGATTAATACATGATTGCATGATGAATTCCCATGATGGACTGTGATGATTTATGATGTTGATTCCATGAGGTTTGATGATTCTATGATGACATGATTATTATGATGATTATGATGAATGATGATGCACCTAATGAGTTTATTATGAGGATGATGTTGACGTGTGCATCATGCATTCATATGCATTCTAGACATCGGTCTAGGACCTTGATTCTTGTGGCTTCAGTCCCATTGTGCGGATGTGAGGTATTTTGTTGTGCTCTGGTTCTCGTGTAGAATCGATCCTACTATTGTGGATCTATGGAGGATTGATGGCCCAATGTCCATCGAATTTTGTTGATTGGTACCACATGCACGAGACTTGTTGCATTTGCATTA